AAAAAAAAAAAAAAAAAAAAAAAAAAAAAAAAAAAAAAAAAAAAAAAAAATTGAGCACAATCACCAAACTTCATTAATAGATTCTGAATCATAGAATCATGGAATATACTGCATTGGAAGGGACCACACACAAGGATCATCAAGTTCAACTCCTGGCCCTAGACAGGACATCCTAAGAATCCCACCATGTGCCTGAGAGCCTTGCCTAAACACTTGTTGAACTCATACAGAACTGGTGCTGTGCTCACTTCCCTGGGAAGCCTTTTCCAGTGCTCAACCACCCTGTGGGTGAAAAACCTCAAGGATGTACTTGGGTATTCTTATCAAGGAAAAAACAATTAAATTACATTATTTACGTACATCTCAAATTCAAAACTTCTCATTAGAAATAAAAACAGTTTACAAGCTGGGTGATTTGCATTACTGGAAGAAATAAGCACAGGCAAAAGACAAAAAGAGATTCATTAATTAGACAAGCTGCTACTCTTTTTAAAAAATAAATTTTAAAAAAACTAATCAATCCCTATAAAAGATTTTATTATAGGCAAAATACCTGTTCAATCACCTTATGATCAGAAATATTCAAATGAAATATCTCTGAAGTTCTCTGAAGGATTATTTCTTTCCATAACTTAGGTACTTAGGTTTTGGAACATATGCATTTTACTGTCCATTTACTGTTGTAGGCTTTTGCTGAAGAATCAATTCATACTTTGTACAGTACTTTTTAAAATAATGGCCAATTTTATTTTTTTTAAGTAGCCAAAGAGCGGCCAAGAGAACTATACAGGCCATTCACTCTAAGGGTATATTTTCAGTTTGGGTGGTAAAAGGAGGAGACCAAAAAACCACTTAAATTGAGAACTTAAAATCAGAAAGAGGTTTTCAAATTTGGTGTTGTTACTAAAGGTTGAAAGACTTAAATAAAAAAGATAAACCAGTGCTACAGCACCATTGGAACCTGCATTTTGCAACACAGCTGGGATTGGACTAAACCAAGGGGTCTGGTTTCATAGGCAAGTGATAATTTATAACAGGATAGAGTTGTTTGCATCTTTCTGGAGGCCTTTAACTATTTTCCTTTCTTGGAGTCCCAAACATTAGATTTTATTAGGCAAACTGAACAGGTCAAGGTGTGTAACATGGAACCAGTTGGGCATTTCAATTGGGCATTTCAGTTGGGCAAGGCTACAACAAATAGTTGTGTAAGCACTGTGACAAATAAAGGATACACCTCAAAGTTATATGTGATTGTTCAGTTCAGAGGAAAATTTCATGGTTCAGTCACCCAGAATTTCATCCCAGGTTCTTATCAGGCATGGGGATAAAGCTGCTTTGATAGAAAACAAGGTGGAACATCTTGCTCACAGATGAACTGAGGCACTTAATTCCAGTTCTACAGATGTATTATAAATCAAATTTCCTGATCTAACAGCACCCAATGGAATGTTGCTAGTGACGCATCTTGTCCTCTAAACATGGGAAAGAGATGATTAATCTGAATCTCTAACCTGCTTATTAAATACCTAGAAATGAAAAATATCTGCTAACCTCCTGTGCTAGTGCTCACATGAAGCCATTTCCCTGCACACGTGCAGCAGGGACTAAATCAGATAAACCCAACTGGTCTTTCAGACAGTGTGGCAGATGTAGTGATGAAAAACACTCTGTGTTCAAATAGCTTCTCATTTAAAATGATACAACAGTGTAACTCAGATCTCAATCTATTTCTTGGAAAAAAATTTCACAACTGCACAATTCATTTTGTTAACAGTCCAATTTAACACAGCTTTATATGGATCTAAATGGTCCTTTCATCGGAATTTATAGATAAATTTGTTGAGTCAGCATGTGAAGTGAAATAGAAGAATAAAGAAGTGTTCAGGGCTGGTTTGGTCAGGGCTTGGAGTAACCTGGCCTAGTGTGGAGATGGTCTGTGAGGACCCTTCCATGCAAACGTTTCTGTGGTTCTGTGAAGTTCATTGATTACTTTCACAGAAGAGAAACAAGATCATCTTGGATACAATGTAATCAAAGAACTGGCCACAGTACCAACTGGGAAGTGCTTCCATAGTCCCAGCAAACAAAACATAGTTTAAGGTGAATCAAACTGTCATCACTTTTAAACATGGAAATTTTTCTATCATTAATAGTCAATAACATGGTATCTAAAACTCCAAGTACAAGCCACAATGGCAGCAAACCAAAGACTAGGCAAACAAAGGCAGCAAGATAAAAAATGGCCCCATCAAGAGCAATCTGTGATCTAGGGGAAAAAAGAACAATGCAGAAAAGAGTCTTGCAAAAACCCAGGCAACAGGGAATTTTCCCATAAATCAAAAAAACCTCCAAATACTCAGGGAGTCAGTTGTTCATGGCAGCATGTTTGGACCTATTCAACTGCACCTAGATTCTGGGGGCAGTTTTGGACCACTTGCTCCAAGAAAGACATTGAGGGGCTGGAGCATGTCCAAAGGATGGCAACAGAGCTGGGGAAGGGTCTGGAGCACAAATCTGATGGGGAGCAGCTGAGGGAGCAAAGAAAAGGAGGTTCAGGGGGACCTTCTTGCTGTCTCCAACTCCCTGACAGGAGGGGGGAGCCAGGTGGTGGTCGGGCTCTGCTCCCAGGGAACAAGGGACAGGATGAGAGGAAACAGCCTCAAATTGTGCCAGGGGAGGTTTAGGTTGGATATTGGGGAAAATTCTTCACATAAAGGGTGGTCAGGCCCTGGCACAGCTGCCAGGGCAGTGGTGGAGTCCCCATCCCTGGAGGGATTTAAAAGCTGTGTAAATGAGGCACTTGGGGACATGGTTTGCTGATGGCCTTGGCCCTGCTGAGTTAATGTGTGGGCTCAATGATCTTAAGGGTCTTAGTCAACCTAAATGATTCTCCTACAAGCAGAAGCAATCCAGAACTGAGCATGTTACAGTGACATGTGTATTATGTAAGAAATACCGGTCTTCGGTATGTTTGAGTTCACAGATCCACAGCAACATACCTGGCAACTCTCCTTTTAGAACTGCTACTCAGGACTTACACCTTCTTGTGAATACTGTCTCTGGATTAGAGATGAAAGAAACTGAGACAGAAGTGTTAAATGGACCTGTAAGGCCACACAGGGAACTCAAACTTGAGCTGGGATTAAAGCAGAGGAGGTTTTGAGGACTAGATGCAGATCCAGAGTCTGCATTTGACCTGTCCTTTCGTCTTTCCCTGGTATCATGAAGCACAGTCTGCTTTGGTGCACTCTGGCTTCCAACCTGTTATAAAGATATCAGGGTAAGGGAAATGCCAGACAGGTTGTCCTTGGACAGGGATCAGCTATTCCCTCCTTCAGCATAGCTACCAAAAACCACTGCAGGCAAACCCTGGAGAGTCTGTCCTGGGCTCAGCTGAGCTGCAGAGCTGGAGAAGGAAGGCAGCAGGGAGCATTCTCCTCTGTACTGTGTCCAACCTGGCAGGAGAGAGGAATAAGGGGTTGATTTGGGGAAAGGCTCCCAACATGCACATTTGCTTTAGAGCTTTGAAGAAGTGGGCAATTCCAAAGTCGTGACTAGCCCTGACCCTCAAAGCTTCAACTGCACAGTGGGAGAAAACTTTAACCCTTGCCAGAAAGCTTAATTGCAATGGGAATATCACATCTCACTGGTAATTAAGAGTCTTAAGTCTTATGACTGTTTTGTCCTATGTTACATCGTTATAGCTGACTATATGCTGGTAAACTATAGATTCATTGCATGGCAGCTTTTAGACAGTTGCATTTATAGCAAAAACTTGTTTGTGTCCAAAAGAAGGATAATTAAGAGAGGAAAAAATGGAAAAGAGAAGAGGGGAGAAGAGGGGAGGGGTTGGGAGGGGACAGGAGGGGAGGGGAATAGAGGAGAGAGGAGGGGAGAGAAAAAGAGAGAAAAAGAGAGATGGGAAGAAGAGAGAAGAAGAGAAAAGAGAAGTAGAGAGAAGAAGAGAGAAGAGGTCAGGTCTTGGAGGCAGGCTCAGGAAAGGTTTTATTTAGCACTCATAAAACATAAGTGAAAACAACTTTCATTCTGGGTGAAACCCTTGAGATTCACAAACATGGATTTCTGCATCCCTGAAGGCAACTCCTACTCTTTTTTGTACTCTATGTGAGTTCTTTAAAGAAGGTAAGAAAGCAGAGGTGAATTCACTATTAGCACTGTGATTCTGTCTTTGACATGCTTCAGGTAATTATGTTTTTGACAATATTTTGATTAAAATGCAGATTTATAAAATCTGTCATAATTTTCTTCCAGTTGGCTGGTTTGCTGAAGGTTAAAGTGCCCTGCTTATTGCTGAACTGAGGTGGTTTAGCAACAGAAAAAATAATTTCTCCTCTGCCTCTCTTCAGAAGCATTGTCAGAAAAGTGCAAAAATGGCATCTTTGCCTAAAGCAAATGTCTTTTGCCACAGTTCCCCAAATTAGCACATACCCAGTCATTGTGCATCGTTTGATCTGTCATAATAAGCTGCTGCACTTGTGCACTACCTGCCTTGTCCCCAGCACTCTCAGCCAAAGCTCCCCTGAGGGATCCGTCAGGTCAGAGGAGATGCCAGGCGGACGGTGCAGCATTCCCTCCTGACAGCGCTGTGCTGGCTGCCAAACGCTCAGTGCAGGGGGATCTACTCTGAGGAGCTGTAGGATAAGAGTCTCATCTTCCAGCTCTGTATTCCCTGAGTTCTCATTGCTGTGCTATTGATACCCACGTGTGCTTTTTGGGGAACACGACAATCAGATGCATGGTGGATATGGACACTAAAAATGCATGCAAAGTGTAAGTTGGTTTCTTTTTACTGACTTGCATGTGGACATTAGGTGTGTTTTTTTTTCATACATATTAAATCAATGAGTAGACTTGGAACTGAAGGTAAAAAAGATTTCCTGAAAGAGGCCAGGATGTTCTAGCTTGCTGATCTCAGACATCTGACTTCCTGCTCTATAAAGCATAGACACAGAAAAAGAAAGCTGTATTTTTATGTAAACCATGGCCTCTGCCAGAGGGGTATCTCATGGTAAATTAAGAAAGATCAGAAGTGTAGTAAAATCTGCAGAGGCTCATGATAATCTCAGAAACACTGGCTGCTGTTAACTGTTTTATAGGACCCTTTCTGCACCTGATATCCTTCCATTCAGTGAGAGACAAAAAGATGAAGGGAGTAGGATGGGAGGTTTCCAGTGCCAGTTTTGCACATATATGCAGTACCAGCATGCTGCTTTCTCCCCCTGTCCTGGACTCCAACCACAGCTCCACTTTTCCTGCTGTGCTCTACGTTGGGCAAGCTGCAGGTGCAGACAGGCCTGGATGGGGACAACCTCTTCAGGCAGGAAGGTGCAGCTGCACACATCTTAGTGCCTTAAAGATTTACAGCAACTCCCTCATTTATTTCCATTTGTTTTTTATAAAGTATGAGACAGACTCCAGCAGAGACAGTCAGAAACCTAAGATGCACTGAAAGAAACCTTCAGAACAAATTTCAGGTGACAGACAGATGGTCAGGTACAGCAATAAAGGGTGTAGGACAAGTACCAAAGAGTCAGGTTGCCTTTATTAGTGGCTCAACAAAGAGGGAAGTTCTGCCTCTGGGACAAGGACAAGGAATATAATTAACTAACAGGACTGTTTAGTGCAGTGGGTTTTAGGTCTGTGCTGAACCCGTGGGAGGGATGGCCTCTAAGCTGACTGGGATGAGCTACAGCAAATGGAGCAGCAATGCCAGGGAAGGGGATGTTGTTAATTGTACAAGAGGGAGCTCTCACAGCAGCAAGACATTGCAGTAAAAAAAGAACAACTCATCTCTCAGACACTGCAGTGAGCAAACACACCAGTATGGGGCTGCCTGCACCATGAACCCTCCTCTGTCCTGCTGCTCACTCTATGCTTTGGGATTTTCCTCCCTTCCAGCAGCTCACATCATCTGCTGAGAGCCTTTGACAGCAGCAGCAGCACAGAGAATCTGGCAGAAGAACAGCCCCTGGGACCCAGGGGGCCCGAGAGGAGACACGGGCTGGTCCGTGAGGAAAACGCAGCCGTGAGAAGGAGATGGCAAAGGATGTTTGTCCTGGTTTCAGTCGGGTAGAGCTCATTTATTCCCAGTAGCTGTCACAGTGCTGCGTTTTGGATTCGAGATGAGAACACTATTGATGACACGCTGATATTTTGGGTTTTTGCTGAGCTGTGTTTATTCTAAGTCAAGGACTTTTTTCTTGTCTCCTGCTCTGCCAGTGAGGAGGTTCAGGAAGGAAACGGGGAGGGAGCACAGCTGGGCTGGGGGATCCAAACTGCGTAAAGGGATATTCCACACTACAGAATAACAATCTGGGTTGGGGAAGGGAGGTCTGGCATCTGTCAGCATGTCGTGGGCAAATGCATTGTACATCACTTGTTTTTCCCTTTTTATTATCATTTTTATTATTATAATTTGCCATTATTACTGTATTTTACTTTATTTTCAATGATTAAATTGGAGTTTTTTTCAACATACAAGTTTTACTTTGATTCTCCTCCCCATTCCACCAGGGTAGGAGGGGGAGGGAGGGGGGCCTGAGCAAATGGCTGCATGGTGCTTTATTTCCAGCTGGGTTTAAACAATAACAATGTTAAATGATTACATAATGATGCTCCTGCTCCTTTTTTTTTTTTTTTTCAGAGGAAATACACAATTGATTGCAAAATGAAGCATAACAACTGACAAAATAAAATCCCTCTCCTGCCTGCAAATGTCCTTACTACAACTGTAACCTCCCTGCTCGTGACTGAAGAGGTCTTTTCGAAAAGATTTAACACAACTTGTCACAAACCCAGTCTCGCTGTTTTCTCTCATATAAGGCAATCCCTTGGGAACAGACTGCAAATAATGACACATGCTTCAATAAGTTATGTGTTAAAGGACTGATCACTACACTTCAGGAGTCCCTGAGACTGAGAACTTGGTGATAGAAAATCCAGATAAACAAGAGGGAGCATGTACCAGGAGAGACTACCTCTTTTCAGATAAAAGCTAATAAATCAGAAAAAAACTGGCACAAGAAGGTCGAGGGCAGGAGGAGTTGATACTACTTACAGGGAGCTTTCTGTAAAACTTACATTAAAATTACAATGAAAAGTATAAACAAAACAATTAGGGTTTTATGAGAGGATTAAAACCAGGACTTCTGAGAGCTCTAAGAAATAACAAAAGTGCTGCAGCTTTGCAATAGATTTACAGTCACGGCAAAATGTTACGATGACACATATATGGATGCATAGGTGAAGAAACTAGGTAATAGTTAAAATAAAAACCAGAATGAATGAGCACCTACAAATTCAAGTTAAGAATTAAGATGAATGGGATTTGACAAAACATAAGAGGCCTTATAGCCAAGAGACAATAATAAACTCCTAGATATTCTTACAAGGTAGAACCTAAGGCAAAGCTTGAGTTAACCAGCTTCCAACAAACACGCTCCAAGACTTCCAAACCATCATGGATGCTATGCATTAAAAGGTTTCTTTAAGGATTGTTTCCATAGATTATGGACAGAATCTCCATGTTACTTGTGAGCTAATTGATTTTTCTTATCAAATATTAATCCTCTTCCTTGAAACCGAAATGGAAGAAGAGCTCTCCTCCTTCTCTGTCTGGTTTGGTCTGGTTCTTGCCCCATAACTGCTGTGAGCAGATGAGGCTTCTGACACACAGTTTTTAGTTCTTAATTTTTTGTCTCTCCCTCCTCTGTTTCCAATGCAAGCCCATACCTCCTCTACTCCATGAAGACTTGTTACTGGATAGGGGATGGAAACAACAACACCCTTCAGGTTCAGTGCTCCCCAATGATTTCTGGAATCATAGGTTTTTATTCAGTCATGCCTGTGAGTTCTGATTCTCTCCTAGGAAGCTCTCACAACAGCACAGACACCAGAACTGCTGACATGCAGATTCAGGAGCAGATATTTCGTCTGGCCATGCTCTGAAAGTTATCTTTAATGGATGAGACACCTGAAGTACTTTTATGCCAGTCCCTTTCCTCCCTAAAGAAGGCCTAAAGATTCTTCTAGATATGTGGTAGCTTGAGTCTGGGCAGACATTCATGCCACTATTACAAATCTCTCATGAGTACCTGACCTCCCCATCACTGGTCCTGTATCCTCACTAAGGGCTCTCAAATCAAACTCACTCCCAGTCCAAGCTCCAGGTCACTTATGAGCTGGTGCTAAAAAGGAGGGAGAAAGAGCAAAATTCAAAAAGTGAATTAATCATGACACATCAAATTCACACAGCCTATTAGCCAAAGACTGAGAGGAGGGAGGGGGAAATAAGTGTAGAAAATATATATAATCTATTTCCACAAATACAACATGGAATATTACACAATATATATAATGACAGATATTCCCATATACGTACACATGCATATACAGAAAAAAATATATATGGAAAACAAAACATTTCTGAAGGAAAAAACTGAAACTGTGTGTCCAGATTCAATAAGCAAATGAATCCAGTGTCTCCAAGCCATTATTTACATTGCAGGATGCTGATATGTGTTGTTCCTTTCTATCTCTTTGGCACCACAGTGAGTTCTGTCCAGCATATTAGTATTTTTATGAGCACTGTGATTGCAACAAAGGCTCCTGAAGTGAACACAAACACTACCAGTGGCACAAACACGGCTTAGAAGTGCTACAAAGCTTGGGGCCTGCTGCTGCTGTTCCCAGCAGTGCTGGGACACCTCCCCACCTCAGACCTGCAGATCACTAGCAAAGCTCTAACACTGGTTTTCAAATCAAATCAATCACACACACTATATATACATGTTATAAATATACATACAGAATATATGAATTTATATATCAATACAAAATATATATATATATACACAGACATACACATCTATATAAATGTTATTGTTGTCCAGACACTTTTATTTCTGCTAAATGTTGTTGTAAAACATTCTTGTTTGGCCAAAAGAACTCCTTTCAAGAGCTGGTTCTTAGTGTACTGTGTTTAACTGGGACAGAGTTTGCTTTGTGCCCAGCAGCTGATGCAGGGCTGTGCTCAGGCTGGTGAGAGCAGTGCTGGTAACACAGCCACACTTCAGCTGCCCAGAGAGAAGTCCATCCCATGTGGCATCATGTTCAACAAGAAAGCTGGGGAAGAGTTTCTTCCAAGATTTTTTCCCATTGCCTGGGAACAGGTGGACATTGGTCTGTGGATGGTCAGTGATTGCTTCTACATCACTTGGTGGGGTTTTTCCCGTTTTTTTTTTTTGCCTTTTCACTTATTTGTCTGTCTGTATCTCAACCCACAAGGTTTTGTGGATTTTTTTCCCTCACTTTTGCCCTTTTGCCCTTCTGATTCTCTCCCCCATCCCACTTCACTGGGAGAAGTGAGTGAGCAGATAGGTGAGGGCTCACCTGCTCACAGGGTCTGCCCAGCACAGCCAGGTAAGGACACATGTTGGCAGCACGAAGCATCCTCTGCATATAAGGCAGTAATGCTGTTTCAGCATTCCCCATATCTATGGCCCAAGGAAAGGAGAAGTCACAGGGCAGGGCAAAATAAAAACTGGCAGCATAAATGTCTAAAGTAACAGCATTTATAAAAATGGACTTTGAGATACTTGTAGGCTGACTCTGTTCACAAGTGAGATGCTCCTAAAATTATTCCTAAAATATTCTTATATTTTCAGTACAAGTTGTTGAAAAACTTTTGTTTAACATCACATTGCCTGCTGTGCATGAACCTTTGATCCACTGACACAGGAGCATGAAGAAATTCCTGGATGCACAAATCCTGCTTCTGGCTTTGAAGAATGGGCAGCCATGTCACAGTCTTGCTCACCTACTTCTCAAGCTCTGTTTAGGACCAGGTAAGGCACTGGTCTGCACAGGTGCCATTGCGGGGTTTGTTTTTGTGCCTTCTTTGGGTAGGAAATATTCTGCAAATGGAAAGAGAAATATATTTACCCTTTCAATCATACAGGAGCTTTGGTGGGGAGGGGTTGTGGATTTTTTCCTTTTCATTGTCAGGGCCCTGCTCTTGTGATAAAGAATAACCTCTAATTAACACTTGGTTGGTTCCTATCGATCTGTTTGTACAATGTTCCCTGTTCCTTTCAGAGACTGCTTTTCCCTGTGTCTTACATGAGACACTTCCACTGAGACACCTCTAGAGATGCCTTTTCCCCCCAGAACATCATATTTTACACTCTTGATCAGTTTATTATGTGTTATAAACCCATTTCTTCTGTGTTGCTGCTCCCACACTGGATTTACTATCTGATTCCTTCCTTTCACATGGACAGTCTCATTTCCTGTTACAAATTCCCTCTTTCTAACTGAGGTCAATTCCTCTGTCCAATTGGCTCCTTTCCCATCAGGGTCCTCTCGACCCCTTCCCGCCTTGGCTCAGCCCTGGGGGGGGACCTGGGCAGCAGCAGCTCCAGTCTCACCGCCAGCCCCAGCCCTACTCCCAGCCCTAGTCCTAGTCCCAGTCCCAGCCCCGGCCCCAGCCCCGGCTCCAGTCCTTATTCCCAGTTCCCACTCCCAGCCCCATTCCCATCATTCCCAGACCCAGTTCCCACTCCCAGTCCCAGTTTCCATTCCCAGTCCCCATTCCCAATCTCGGTCCCATTCCCAGTCCCTATTCCCATTCCCAGTCCCTATTCTCATTCCCAGCCCCATTCCCAGTCCCCAGTCCCATTTCCAGTCCCCAGTCCCATTCCCAGTCCCCATTCCCATTCTCATTCCCAATCCCC